GGGGGGGGGGGGAGGCCTTTGTCTTCCTGCTGCTGCTAATCTCCACCCAGGTTGACTCATCATGCCCAGTTTAGCTTCTCAGTTCTTCCATCATCTGTGTAATCATTTCCCTGGAGTAAATTCTTTAAATATTTACAATGTTTTATATTTTCTTGGTTAGATCCTAACCAACCAATCAGCACTTCATTCATTTCTATCAAAATCATTGGAAGAAAAAGTGAACGGGGATCACATGTTTCTCCCAAGGAAAATAAATTATTCTCAGGAAATAAATTTAAAGTTAACTGTAAAGCTGGGCTTTTTACACTGAAAAAAAAAATTTAACTTAATATATTTAAAGCCATATTCTAAGCTATCCAAATGTTGTCGTGTTAATTTGTTGCTGTTAATAAAATCACTGTTGATATTCCCATCTTGCTCATCAAATTAATAGGAAGATTTTTTTAACTTCTCAAATACATACTAAATGTGATTCTTACTTTTTTAAAATTCACATTTTAAACTTCTTTATGTACAATATAAGAGCCTCGCCTTAGGGCATTCACACTTAAATCTAAAGCTTCAGATCTATTTTATTATGGATGCAACCTCTCTCTTTCAGTAATGGTTGTATTCCACTTGATGCCTGATGATGTGAACATTTCACATTTCCTATAATAAATACTGACTATATTGGAAAGCAAAGTAATCAGGATGCCAGTGTCTGTTTTTTGACAGGTAAACAATTCACCATTCTCCCAACAATCCCACTCATGCTAAAGGGCTTCCCTGGTATTAAAGTGGCTTTTCACTTAATTATTTTGGCACTTTGCTTGGTTATTTTAAATTCAAGTGCCTTGCTATTTTCATTTCCTTCTCATTTATTTATGGAGACATTTCCCTTTTCAATCTTTTCTCAGAGGTCATTGTGACTGCTCATCTGTCCATTTTAATGTATTATGGGTACACTCAAAAGGACATGGTGTCCCTCCTACCAACAATTTTCATCCATTCAACCAATGTTAATGTTAAACCTACAATGCCTAATTGAGGATCCTTTAAACAATGTGAAAATGCCGTTATGAGCAGAATTACTTGGACCCCTTCATAGTCTAAAATTAGGAGATACAGGAATGAGCAGCTTTATGGTGTGGTTAAGATGCAGTGAATAACTGACGTCCTCAAAACACATCTTCCGTAGTTTGGTACAGCACTGAAAATTCTGATCATTAACATTTCTCTCCAGCTTAAAGAAATAAGGCTTTATAAAGTCATGTGTTTAAAAAAATACTCTTGGGAAGAGAAATACACCTACTAATAATAGATGCTACATCACCTATAAGTCTAATGAATTAGCAAGGAAGAGACTCCTGAGACAGTGGTCCAAACACTCAGCTTCTGAGGGCTTGGTACACATAAGTAGGAGACTACTGAAATAATCTCACTAAGTTCGTAATGTTTCCTGGTGAGTCAAGGGAAGCACCTTTCAAAAAAGATAACTAGGGCTGGACATATCACATGTCCTATTGGAAGAGGGGGGAGAAACAGTGGAGGCTTTAGTTACACGAATGAGCAACATTATGAGTAGAGATTTTAAACCACTGGTGCCCAAATAGTCTGGGAAAGTGCTGTAACCAAAATGTAGTCAACAGTACTTTTGCTGAATAACATAGTAAAATGTGGGAAAAATCAAATGTGTCTAAAGGCAGAAATAATCTTTTATTCATCTTTGTACCCCTGGAAACTAGCCCAGTGCTTGGCACACTGTAGATGATTTCTAAATAAATGATTAGTGAGTAAGAACAAAGGCACACAGCCACACTGGCTGATGCCCACTGAGTTCCTCCTTTATACCAAAATGCGGTTTTGTATACACATATACTTCATTTCATGCTTAAAAACCTCATGACATATATAATATTATTATCTCCTTTTTTAAAGATGAGTAAACTAGGGCCCAAAAAGGATAAATAACCTGCCCGAGGTTAAGTAAGATGGAGTGAAAATGCAAATCCAGACAGTCTGGTTTCAGAGCCTGAGCACTTCATTATTATTCGACACTGTCTCTCCTGTAATATAGTCATCAAATCACTTTAAAACACAGAGGCAACATTGTTTATTATTAACAAATTTAAGTCATTCCAGAATATACCTATATTAAGAGATCTTGCCAGAATCTTGAACGGCCTTGCTTTGAACACAAATTTCCTCTTTTCAGTGTTCCTACTCTCTTTTCCTTTTAAAACATTACTGCCTAAATCAATTTCCTAATTTACATTCAGATCTCATTATTTCCATTCTTTAATGGTTTGTTCTGAAATTAGTATTTTAAGTATCCTATTGCTCCTTTCATTCCATGTGCTTAATTTAATAATGTATCATCCTGAGCAGCAAGTTACTTAAACTCAATGAACCTCAGATTCATCACCTGAAAAGATATGTCTAATCTGTTGTGAGGACTACAAAATAACACCCATAAAACAGCAAAAACAACACAGTAAAGTTCCTGGTACATAGTAGGTGCCTAACCAACAGTAGCCAATATGACCTAATTAACACCCTCCACTTCTATCTCAAAGCCAGTGTTGGCTACCCCATCAACTGCAGAACAAAGTCTGTGTCCTATATTCCTTAGCATGTCATAATATACATATATATACACATACACACACACACACACACATATATATATCTTGAGTCTCATCACTGCCTTCCTTTCTGCTCTTCAGTTACCTTGGCTAACACAGGCATGATCTGCCTTCTCTGAGCCATGCTCCCGGGGCCTTTCCTTTTGCCCAGGCTGGTTTTCCTGCCTAGACTCTCCTCACTTCTACACCCCGGTCCCAGTCCCCTCACCTGCAGACTGAATGCGCTCTTCAGAGGCTCGCAGTAGCCTAGTCGTCGTTACTGTTTCAGTGAAGTCGTTGTTAAGCCCCTCCAGCGTCAGCAGTTATCAGTCCTGTCTCTGAATTCACATAACCCTTTGGGTCATTTCTAGAAGATCAGCTCTTACTGTAGACAAGAGAAAGAAAAGCAATCTCATTCATTCACTCACGGGCTTATGTTGGAATTTCTCATGT